GAGCCCACATCGTGGTCCCCACGTGCACCTGCTCACTTGTCCTCAAGGACCTGGGCTCCGCTCACCACTGTCAGGAGCAGAGTTCTGTGTCCCCTCACCGTCTTCCCCACCCCTGCCCAGGAGCCCAGAGGTCATCCTCGTCCCGCCCCGCTCTCCCTGCTTTGAGGGCCCTCCCTGGCCTACTGAGGTTGGGTCCTGCGCCCCCTCCCCTGCCCCATGGTGACCTCCACGTGCCATCTCTGCTTGGCAGCTCTCAGGATACTTGGGGGTCCCGCCAACCCCGTCTTCTCTCCCCTCACTGCTCCTCTTCCACCTGGGCCACCTGCTTCTGCACCAGCCCTGGTCACCCCCCACATCCTCTGGAAGGCCTCCCACTCATCCCCTCCCCGGCCCCCAGACAGACACACTGACAGACACACTGGATAGACTCAGGAATGGATGACTCTAGAAAGACTCCTCGTACCCCAGATAAGCTGCCCGGGGAACACCCGCGGGCATGGGGTGCCCGAGGGCAGGAGCACCCCATGGTCACTTGGTCGGTGTTTGTCACAGGGACAGGGACGCCTCTTGGGAAAGCTCTTTATAGCTTTTGTGAAAAGTAGGTTTAGTTTATAACAAGAAATCCCCAAAGCAGTGATGGCTTTCAGCCTCATTCCACTTAGGGGTGGGTCATGTTGAAACTGCCAAACATTAAAAACAGGCTAAGAATGAGGAAGTCAGAGGACTGGCCAGGACAGACCAAGGCGGGAGAGGGGCTGCCTCGAGCACAGATTGCCCGGGGTTCTGTCCTTCCTCTGCCGCGCCCCCCTCAGGCATGTGCTGCATCCTGACTGGGAGAAGGTCCAGGCTGGTCTCCCCGTGCGGCCGATACCGGCCCCAACACCCGTCTTTTACAGAGGCCCAGAGACGCTGTGCAGCGGGCGGTGACCCGTTGCCCTGGGGAGAAGCAGCGCATCAGTTGTGTTCTGTATCAGGTTAGGCGTCAGGTTGTAGCAGAGGTGAGGCCAGGTCTCCTTGGATGGTGACACATCATGGTTGCCACATACCTGCTGCCCGTGCTTGTGAAACAGATTTTAACAGAGTAGCCTGGGGCAGTGATCCTCTGGAGCTCATGCCCTGAGGCAGTGGGCCCCTGACCTCTGGTGATCACTTGTCCTCTAGGAGCGGGAGGGAACGTGGCAGCACCGCCATGGCTGGATCCAGCGAATTCTCTGGTAGATCCTAACCGTGGTGTTGGATGGAGACTCCACGCTCCGGGCAGGATGAAAGAGGGCTTCTGATGTGCAGAAGTCTTAGGACGGCTGTGTGCAGTCGTGCAGGATGTCGTCGCATGTTCACCAGACAGTCTCCTGTCTGTTCACTGAGTTGTCACTTGACGAATTTGCTGATTGCTGTTCTAGGCAAACTGTATGGGAGAGGAGCAACGGACGACAAGGGGCCAGTGGCCGGCTGGATGAACGCCCTGGAGGCCTTTCAGAAAACGGGACAGGTACGCCACCCACACACATCTAACGGCCCCATTCACCTGTCCCATGGGTGATAGCTGTTCCCAGCACAGCCTGCGAAGATCAGAGGTCCCTGGGCTGGAGACAGCCAGCTTCCCCCAAAACCGCATCAGCACAGCTAGGTCACGTTGCAGATTGTAGGTGGTTTTCCTACAAAAAAGTAAAGATGCAGCTGTTTTACAGTTGCTCAAAGGTCAGCCTGTTGGTGACTTAGCAGGGACCCAGCCAGCGGGGGAAGTGAGAGTTCTGGTCTTCGGCTGCGCCTTAGGGGTGCGCCCTTGTTGGCGGGTGCGTGACCTGGGCTCTGCAATAGTGGGAAAACCCCTTACTTTATCTGTGGGGTTTTTATCCTCCTAAAAATAAAATTCATTTTTAAAAATCTGTTTCCCTGAGGGTGGGAGTATAGCTCAGCATTAGAGTGTGTGCTTAGCATGTGCAATGTCCTGGGTTCAATCCCCAGTACGTCCATTACAAAGTGTACACATATTAATCCATATTATAATATAGTAATATATCATTATTATATTTTGTAATTAATGTATTTATTAGTACGTATTGATACATATATATTTCCTTAACTGAAACGTCAACTCCTTGTTGAAAGTTTGTAAAATGCAGAAAAGTAGAGGAAAAAAAGGAGTGCCTAGAATCCCAACCCCCAGAAACTTAATATTTTGTTACTTACTGATTTTTTCAACTCTTTTCAGCCTAATTGTGATTATAATGTGTAGATAGTTTCTGCATCTTGCTTCTGTCTTGTGTTGTGGTAAGAATAGAAAGACAGGTGTTTTTGTCAGGACCTGGAGAGGCAGATTGGAAGAGGGTCCAGGCTCTCTGGGCCAGCATGGGAAGGCGTCCCTCCTGGCGGGCACCAGGGGCTGTGGGCAGCCGGGGGCATGGGTGGCTGTGTGCAGGTGGCGCCGCCCAGTGCCCCCGCTGACACCTGTCCCACAGGAGAGGAGGAGGGGGCCCCACGTGTGCGGAGCAGTGTTGTCTGGGGGCAGCTCTGGACTCAAACTCTGCAAACGGATCCACATGGGTCCGGCCTTCCGTAGCCGTCACCATGCTCAGGTGCAGCTTCTTGTCCCCACCTGTGCAAGGGGGCCAGCTGGTCCCCACCCAGCATGGGGAGACCTGGAAAACCAGGTGGATGGCGGCATCTGAGGTCATTGTCACCTCTCTAGGAAAAGGGCCTCCGATGTGCAGGGTGGGGGTTGTCAGGCAGGAGCACCTTCTGAGTAGGGAGCTTGCTCATGCGTGTGCTCGTGGTGGCCACAGTGGTGCACGTGAAGGCCCTGGTGTTCTTTGTGTCGTGGCCTTTATTTTAGAGAGAGCAGCTCAGATTTGCCGGAGATGCTTGATTCTTGCTGGGTGAGCACGGAGACCTGTGAGTGGGAAATGGGGTCAGGCCGTGAGTTCCTGGAAGGAGTCCTGAGGGTGACCACAGCTGCAGCCACGCTTGTCCCCTGGCGGCCCAGCGCCTAGGGACTGAGGGGCACTGCAGGCCACACACAGCCTCCAGGGGGTTGGTCTGGCGGAGGTTGGGTGTTTGAAATTTGTGCTTTCAGAACATTTGTGGCTTCCTGTCTGTTCCTAAGAAGTAAAGTGCAGGAGCTCTGAGTACTGATCTGCGCCCGCTCCCTTCCCAGGAAGTTCCCGTCAACATCCGTTTCTGCCTGGAAGGCATGGAGGAGTCTGGCTCCGAAGGCCTGGACGCGCTGATCTTCGCCCAGAAGGACACGTTCTTCTGCGACGTGGACTACGTCTGCATCTCCGACAACTACTGGCTGGGCAAGAGCAAGCCCTGCATCACCTACGGGCTCCGGGGCATCTGCTACTTCTTCATTGAGGTGCGTGCAGGGCGGCGCGTGTCCCGGGCCTTGCAGGGTCCTGGGGCACGCAGGGCGGTATGTCCCAGGGAAGTGCAGGGCCGTGCAGGGCTGTGCAGGGCGGCGCACGTCCCTGGGTCCCTTCCTCTTCTGCGCTCGCAGGAGGAGGTACTGGAAGGTGACCCTGGCACCCAGTCGTGAAGCACAGCCTGCCCAGTCCCAGATCAGAGGGACAAACCGTCGCGCTGTCCATGCTGGACAGGGTCGAAGGTCAGGTTTGTAGGCCGGGAGCTGGGGCCTCAGGCAGTGAGGACAGATTATACGCGCGCGTCTGTTCGAGGCCAAGATATATACAGAGTCATTCAGGAGTCCTTGCTTTTAGGAGTTAGAATGTTCATGTCCTTAAGCTCTCATCCCTCGACTGAACCATCTAGAGGGAACCAGGATGTGCCCTGGACTCGGGAGCTGAGGAGGGCAGAGCAGGAAGGCCACCAGGCGCACCCGCCTCTCCCTGGCCCGGCAGCCGGGCCTGTCTTTTCGCCCAAGGTCAAGGGTGGGGGCCCACTGCACAGGATGACTGATGGTTAGGTTAGGCCATGTGGGAAAGCGTCTCACAGCTGACACGTGCCAGGAGGACCGTGGTTACTGCAGCCCGCTTGCCTCCCCGCCGGCCACCGGGGGAGGGCAGCAGCCCGCGGGCGGAGGGAGCGCTCTGCTGTGGCTTCACAGGGCGGGAGTCCGTGGGGCAGGTCTGATCAGTCTGCTGCCTGTCACGGTAGGCGCGACCCGTGTGGCAGGTGGTGCAGGGTCTTTGTGAAAACTGCCGGGAGGCCTGCGAGCGCCCAGGCTTACACCCGCGGGCCTCAGTGCCCCTGCATCCGTGGTTTGCGCTCCCAGGAGTTCCGTTGTTGCCGCCACAGCCGTGTGACTTGGGCAGCGCCTCGCTTTGCTTGCTGAGGGAGGAGCTTTTCGTTCTGGATGTTGTCTGTTGCGTTTGCGCACTGGCCTGTCACGTGACAGGGATAAGCTCCCATGAGCAGCCGAGCAGGGTGGCCCTTGTGTCTGTGCAGGTGGAATGTAGCGACAGGGACCTGCACTCCGGCGTGTATGGCGGCTCTGTACACGAGGCCATGACCGACCTCATCACGCTGATGGGTGAGCGCGGGTCCTGTCCCCATGTGGACTGGGGAGGAAGGTTGGAGCAGGGTTCCACTCGGAGCGTCTCAGTGTCCCTCTGTCCCCCTAGCTCACATTGTTCCCTGTAAAAGACCCACGTGCTTCATTTCTGCTTCCCTCTTCATCCCTGGAGCACCAGACCCAGGACCCTGGGTCGTTCTGGGAACGGAATGGCGCAGTGAGCGCGGGTGCATGGCAGTGCCCAGTGGTCAAGCATGCCTGGCTCTCACACACGGTACCCATGTGAGCACGGCTCGCTCTGGGCCTCCTGCTGCTGTGTGCTCATCCTTCCCGCTCCCCCGCAGGCTCCCTGGTGGACAGGAAGGGGAAGATCCTCATCCCCGGCATCAATGAGGCAGTGGCCCCTGTGACAGAGGAGGAGCTGCAGCTCTACGACCAGATCGACTTCGACCTGGAGGAGTATGCCCGGGACGTGGGGGCAGAGACCCTGTTGCACGACTGCAAGGTGTGCCTGCTGCCCTGTGCCCCGCCCGGCCGGCTGTGCGCCCTGTCCTGGGACCCAGCGGGAGGAGCCTGAGAGCTGGGGAGCTGCAGGTGGACCCTGGGTTGGAGAGCCGTCAGGTGGAGTGGACGCCCTGGGGAACACCATGTTCCAGGCTGGGAGCTGGGAGCCCTTCAGCGTGTCAGATGTGGCCCGTTGACAGCTGGGGAGCTGGCAGGTGTGTGTAGAGGCAGGAGCTTTTCCTGGCTTGCCTGGGCCAGGTAATCCCCTCACTGCTGGGCCCAGAAATGATGTCAGCTGTTCCTGATGGGGCAGGCACTCAGGTGGAAACGGTTTGCACAGAACGATTACTTACCTGTTAAGAGAAAATTGTGTTGTGACTTTTCTCTTAATTAGTGTAGTTCTTGGTTTTTAAGATCCGGATATAAGTTCAGAAGCTGGCAATTTAGCCAGCTTGAATTGGACTCCGGTGACAGGCCCTGGGGGTACAAGGGGGTCAGTTCATCTCTGCAGGTGACAAATAGGCAGAGAAGCATTATAGGATGTGTGGAGGCCACTGTGGGTGGTCCATGGCCTGGGAAGGGGAGGCCTCGTCAGACGGGAGCCCCGTCTGCCATGGGGGCTGCAGGACACAGTCGGGGCTGAGCAGTGGAGCAGGGCCAGCTGTCCCTGTTTGTGGGGCGGGCTGGCTGGGAAGGGCCTGGGGTTAAGACTGAAAATGCCTGATGTGAAGCTTTCCGTGATCTGCAGAGGAGCTTGTCTGCCGTCCTGGAAGAAGGCTGTGACCAGTTTTGAGTAGAGGGATGAGCTGATCAGACCTCACTTGTGAACAGATTACAGATGGGGGTGTAGCTGGATTGGAACCGAGGCAGTGAGGTTGGGGACCAGTTAGGCCGCTGTAGGGGAGAGCGCCTTGAGCTGGTGGTGTGGGAGTTGAGGAAGTGGGGGAGGGGGCTCCTCAGGCTCAGAACGCATCGCAGAGTGGACGGGACCAAGTGGAGTCAGGAGTTCACGGTGGGCAGCGGTCGGCTGGGTACTGATGCTGTGGGCCAGGAGAGACGAGTCCCGGGCGGTGGGGAAAAGTGGGCTCCGGACAGACTGGATCTCCTCCTGCTTCCTGCTGCCTTCACAGAAGGTGTCCGGTTTTGGGTGTATATTCTTTCCCAATGTCACTGGGCTCTTTGGTTCACAGACAAGTCCAGAGAAGCGGCTGAGTCACTGAGGAGCCCCAGGGTCCCCATCTGGTTTCTCTGCTCTGGCCAGCCATTCAGGTGGCCACATGTCCTGTCACGTCCTGGGCTGCTGCTGGAATGTGTAGAGCACGAAATCTCAGTTGTTTGAGGTAGACACTTGGAAGACGGAAGGCTGCTTGGTGCCAGTCCCCTCAGCAGACCATGGTCACCGGCCTAGGACACAGTGGATGGCCCTGGCTTCCCTCTCTCAGTAGGAACTCCCCCCATATTCTATGTCCTTTAAGCGCAGGACCTAGGGAGGGGTTCACAGATGGCCTGTGTTGCACCCCCGTCTTCCTCCTGGTGCCCCAGCTCTGCAGCAGCTCAGTGTCGGGGACCATGCCTTCGCCCTGGATTCTGCAGAGCTGGCCAGCACAGCCCCCTCGGTGGCATGTCATAGCAGCTACCGGAGCGTCTTTGGGGCTGGCTCATCTCATCCGCCTGCCCTGCCGGGGTCGGTACCGCCTTCCTGTGGGTGTGCAGCCCCAGGCCGGCTGATTTCCTCTGTGAGCAGACAATGTTGTCCCCAACCCACTTTGTCATTTTTCTGCAGAAAGAAATCCTGATGCACCGATGGCGGTACCCGTCCCTGTCCCTCCACGGGATCGAAGGTGCCTTCTCTGGGTCGGGGGCCAAGACTGTGATTCCTCGGAAAGTGGTCGGCAAGTTCTCCATCAGGCTGGTTCCTAACATGACTCCGGAAGTGGTCAGCGAGCAGGCATGTGGGCACCGGGGCGTGGGGTGGGGTGCTGTGCACCGGCAGAGACTTTCACCAGGGTTCCTAATGACAGGAGAGCACAAACCTAACCTTCCACACTCCATCCTTTGGCTCTTGGCAACTCAGCAGTTACTAAAATAAGCAATTCAGAAGCTGATCAAAGATTAAGGCCATATGAAAAAGCGTCATGTGTAAGTGACCTTTGTCACTGCTGAGGTGTGCTAAAATCTGACTTCTGTCCTCATGCTAAGGCTTCAAGGCAAATGCTGACTTTGGGCTGAATATGTTATGGTGAAAGTCCTTGGGCCTCTGGGGCGTGGTGAGCAGCACAGGGAAAAGTCCAGAGGGCGCAGATTCCTCAGGGGACAGACTCCAGCAGCTGAAAGTCAGCCGAGCTTGTGGGGAGCAGTTACCCGCCCTCATCTGGGGGGGTTCCGGGAGAGATGGAGTCAAGATCTTGCCTGTTGGTGGAGGAAACCGAAGCCTGTGCTCCAAGCTGAGGACGGAGACTTTGCCATCATGCGGTGTCCCTGGGTCAGACCTGGCTCTGTTTTGGTCTCGATGTAATCATTTTATAAAGCAACTCAAAGGACTTTTTTTAACTTGATTTAAATGTCATCGTATGAGAACATCTATGTAAAGGGTGAATTTTTTGAAATTGAAACATAATGGATTTTGTTTTTTGACAAAAATCCCTTTTACTGTTGTCACAGTTAAGCCAGGCAGTGTTGAGCCGCAGCAAATGTGACCCGTGGGAGACCTGTTTAGACCCATTGTAGACCCAGTGGAGACTCTGGGTGAGAGACCCGGCTCATCAGACACCGTGACTCTTCTGTTTGTGGTTCAGGTTACGAGCTACTTGACTAAGAAGTTTGCGGAACTACACAGCCCCAACAAGTTCAAGGTGTACATGGGCCACGGAGGGAAGCCTTGGGTGTCCGACTTCAACCACCCCCATTACTTGGCCGGGAGAAGAGCCCTGAAAACAGGTCAGGTGTTCTCCTCGGGGACGTCCCCGGGGCCCCAGCATGTGTGGTAGGCCCTGCCGGAACGTGTGCGCACGTGGCTGTGTTAGCTGTGTCTCTGCAGGCTGGGCTGGGCCACCACCCACCTTGAGAGCAAGGCTGCTGTCCCCAGACCTCGCATAGGGCCTGGACTCAGGGTCACTGGGCAATAGGGTTGAGGCAGCCCAAAGCTCACTGTTTCTTTCATTCCACTCTCCCCAGTTTTCGGTGTTGAGCCGGACTTGACCAGGGAAGGCGGCAGTATTCCTGTGACTCTGACATTCCAGGAGGCCACGGGCAAGAACGTCATGCTGTTGCCCGTGGGATCAGCTGACGACGGAGCCCACTCCCAGAATGAAAAGCTCAACAGGTGAGGACAGAAAAGGGGGGCCATCTTGGGGTACGTGGGGTGGGCTGGACAGGGACAGGGGGAGAGGACGGAGACCTGGGTGTCAGGACACACGTACGCAGACAGGCAGGAGCTATGGTCCAGGGCAGCCACTTCACACCAAGTGCTGGGTGAGCCCCCGCGCGTTCTGGTAGTCCAGGCCTGCTGCTGGTCCCTGGTGGGGCGTCGGACTGGACCTGCAGTTGAGAACCAAGGCAAGCGGCACTTGGGGCCAGGATGGTGGGACATCAGTTCCAGAGAGAATGCAGCATGTGTGCCTGGGCCTCGGGACACCAGCCAACGTGGTGACTGTTCCTCCTGTCAGGCACAACTACATCGAAGGAACCAAGATGCTGGCCGCTTACCTGTACGAAGTGTCTCAGCTGAAGAACTGAGCCCCAGCCTCCGCCCTCCACCCTCGTTGTCTTCCGATGGCTCAGGAGAGTGGAAGCCTGTCCTCTCCTCCTCTTGTCCAGTTCTGCAGACTTCAGGATGTCTCGGTGGAGTGACCTGTACCGGGCAGTGACAGACGTTTAGTTCTGGGGGCTTGGGAACGACCCCGGGTGACAGCTGCATTCTCACAGATGCTCAGCACGACTTGGTCTCCGGAAGATAGGCGAGGCCTCCAAGCACACGTTCTTCTGTAGGAAGTGCCACTTGGGGTAAAGAGCCCCTGGTGCTTTCTGCCCCGAGTCAGGGTCGTGCGCACGTGGAACATGCAGTCACGGTGCCCAAGGCCTGGACGGCCACCTGCTCTGTCCCTCGCTGTCTCGTGCGCGCTCTGTCGTCCTCTCCAGACTGTGAGCACTGCTGCTATCCTTATCTCCTCCTGATCTCCGCCCCTCGAAACCTGAACCTGACTGGGAGGGTCATTTGGTCTCAATCGTGTTGCTCAATAAAAAGGAAAAACAGCCTCTGGAGGAGTCGCTGCCTGTCCGCCTGCCCCCCGCCCCCCGAGTCTCGGGAGGGCCGTGCTGCGCTGTGCCATGCCAGCTTGGGGCCGGGCGGGAGGGGCCGGGGTTCGGAAAACCAGCGTGGTCGCCTTTCCCTGTCTCACTCAGCCCGCCCTGTCCCCACTCCCTGTGCTGCCAAATCACAGAAGAGCCAGTCAGACTGGTTTGGACAAAACAGTCCTTTGGCCCCATCGATGGAAGAGACCGGAGTGAACTCCACCAACAGGAACCAGGCCCTTGTCTGTCACAAAGCCTGTGTTTTGTCCACTTTGCTGGCCATCTGGACTCCTAGGCTGGGGAACAGGAGTGTGTTTATTGGGCCCTGTCGTGCCCAACACTTAATAGAACAGAAGTCACGCTTTCAGTCCCCATGACCTCTCACTCCTTCACTTCCCCAGGTCCCCCTCTGCCCCTGGAGTCACCTCCACAGCCCCTTGCGTCCTTGCTAACCACCCCTCCTGGTCCTCGGGAGGCTTACCCAGGAAGACAGTCTGATGTCAGTCACCCTGCACCCTCCAGGGACCGGGCCCTTGGGCCTGCCTGCACAGGGTCTCTGCGCTTTACTTCCAGTTCACGTTAGGGGCTGAAGCTTTGCTCGGTGCTAGTGAAACTTACCCATCCAACTGTTCCACGGGAGAGCCGCCCTTCCCCAGTTGCCCTGAACCGTGTCACTCATGGCAGGAGGCTGAATCCTAGTAGGGATCCCTGCCCGGTCTTTTTTAGAAAAAGAACTGACCAGGCTGCATTCTTGACTTCGAAGAGAAGCGGCTGAGAGGAGCCCTGACTGGGAGGAACCTGACAGTAGATGTGTCAGGATCCTTGAGCCCCACGCGTTAGCGAGTGAGGCCGCTGTGACCCAGATGACATAGGCTTCAAGGTGGCGGCAGTTTCCCGTCTGCAGCTTTGCGTCCAGCCGTGAGCTCTGCTCCAGCTCTGGCAGCCCCAGCCTGTGGGGAGGAGGGCGGGGAGACAGGCCTCCTCACTTCCTGGCACAGCCCAGCATTACCAGGTGGTGTTTCTTATTTGCATCTTACCCAGGGTCACTCGGCCACTCCTAACCGCACGAGAGGCGGGAAGCACACGAGGATGAAACTCCATGACTGTAGGAGAGGAAAACCTGGCTTGTCGACTTTTATGTGCCTCTGGTGCCCCATGATTGTACTGTGACCTTTGTCCGAAGGAAAACAGAAAAATGGAATGTCTAGCATGAAATAGAAGGACCCAGGGACCCAGTTTGTCATTCACTCTTCAGAGAGAATTTCACCATCTGCTTCAGGCTCTGAGCCTTTAGGGGGCAGCTGAGTGGGGGTTGGGAGGGTGACGCCAGCCTGCCTGCCTTTTCCTTGCACTATTTCTCATCAGAATGTGACGGTGGGCCATCTTGGGCTCGTGGTGGAGCCCAGTCTGCTCCTTTCAGCTGTATTCAGTAGAACCTGTTACCCCACATCATGAGAGAATGGCCCCTAAATGGACTGATAAGTGAAGACACTGCAGAATTCCTTTGACCTGCATTTCCTGAAATGGCCTTGCAGGAGAGGCTGGTTCAATGCAAAACCTGAAAGGAACGGTTATTGAATAACAGCCAGAGTTCCTTGGAACAGCAGACGGTCCTGGCCAAGCCCACCCAGGAGGGAACGGTGTGGACTTGGACCCAGGTATCTGATGGATCTCGTCCCGCACCGCTAGCCACTGGTGTGGGAGGAGCCAGGGACTAACCCCGCCCAGGGGTAGCTGACTCGCAGGCCTGGCGTGCTTTGGAAGGTCTCCCTAGGTGACTTGGAGACTCACCACCTGTTACGGGCTGAATCGAGCCCCCTCAAAATTCATGTGTTAAGCTCATTCCTGGTACCTGAGGATGTGACCAGATTTGGAAATGGGTTCTTTGCAGAGGTAATCAAGTTTAAAAGAGGTCATGTGGGTGGGCCCTAATCCACTGCGACCAGTGTCCTTAGAAGGGGGCAGTTTGGACAAGGAGAGGCCACGAGAAGGTGAAGGCAGAGGTCGAGCCAGGCATCTGCAAGACAAGGAACGAGGAAGAGTGCCAGCAGCTGAGAGAGGTTCTCCCCCAAGCCCTTAGGAAGGAACCAACCCTGCCAACATCTTGACCTTGGGCTTCCAACCCCAAGACATGGAGAACAGGTTCCTGTTGTTTAAGCCACCCAGTCTTTGGCAGCCAGAGCAAACCGACACCCAGCCTGTAACGCCACCACGTTCTCACATGAGGGTCCCAGCGACAGCAGGGGCCCGTCACCTGCCAAAGGTAACAGGACATGTTCATGTCACTTCTCTCAGGTCTGCTGGCCCCAGGCATGCGCACCTGCTCCCTCTCAAAGGTGACACCCTCCACACACGCCTGGCAAAGCGCCTGGGCGGTCACACAGCCTGAGCTGGTCCTGTTGGCCTTCAGTAACATCAGATGACTTCCAGGCCACTACCTCATCCCGTATCTGCACACGAGACACATTGTTTCTTCCTCTGCTGTCAAACTGAATGAATATCTCTGAAGCATCTTTGTTTTCCAGACATGAATGGGTCCACTATTCCAGACTTGCTGTCCTTTGAGGGGGCGGTATTTGGGAGTGGGGAGGATGCAGACAAGCACCCTGCAGAGGGACGTTTAGTGTGACCAGCCGAGGGCCTCGGTGAGACAGCCTCTTCCACTTTCCTTTGAGGTCCAGGGAAGTTGCTGGAGGCCCCAGAACTGCAGCCCAATGGATCCCAAACTAGGAAGGATGGTGAGTAGACCCTCGGCTGTTCAGAGTCTAGGGGAGCAGAGCACGGCCTTCCGTGCCACGCCGGTGGACCAGGTGAACAGAGCAGGTCCCTGCCTGTGCTTAGAAGTGTTCTCAGAGGCTCCCCGTCTCAGCCTGAGCCATGTGGCATTTGAAAGTACCTTATCAGTCCGCTTTGGGCGGCTGCACGTTCCAGCAGATAATTAAACAGCGTTCTTTCCCAGCGCTTCCTACGTGCCTGGGATGCATTTCCGCTCAGTGAGCGCTGGGGTCTGGGGTGTGGATGCAAGGCCCCGGCAGATGGCGTGAACCAGACGTTCAACAGCACACTTCGCCATGCTCGCTTTCTCTTCCCATGAAACGCAACATTCTTATCCGAGCAGAGCTTCTAGCTGCTGAACGTAAGGTACCACCCAGAGGGTGGTGTGGAGAACTCTGCACATCCAGGTACAATTTGTTGCCTTTCTCACTAAACTCTGAACTCTGCTCCTCCCTCTACCCAGAACATTGGTGTGAATAGTTTTGAAGAATTTGCATTTTAAAGCATGTAAATTCAATGATTTTTTAGTATATTCACAGAAATATGTGGCGATCACCTTAGTGTATTTTAGGATATTTTCATCACCTCGGAAAGAAGCCCCATGCCCCTTAGCAGTTACTCCCCTATTGCCTTACCCTGCCCCGTCCCTAAGCAACGACAACTCTACCTGTGTCTCACTTAGGGCTCCCTGTGGTGCAAGCAGTGAGGCATTTAATAGGAAGCGTTTCCACGGAAACAAAAAGAAAGGTTAATGATTAGAACAAACTACAATTCCATTTTTGAATCCAGAGAACTCAGATGGTGGAGTGAGGGCAGTTCTGACAGATTTTCTGGTTTTAGCTTGAATGACTCTGGTGATGGCGTTAGGTGTCCTGGTGAATTTTCTGAGTGGCCCACCCAGCAGATGGCAAGAGAGTGGTCCAGACGTGCTCCATCCTGGTGGTTTCTCTGAAGTTTATAGCAAGTGATGCAGCTTCAGTTTGTAGGGCTTCGGGAAAAGGACGCTTTTAGTTCTCCTGGGGCCTCCAAGTTAGAAGGGTAGGAGATAATTGGAAACGTTAGTTTAGAGAGTTATAGGCCGATGTTAGAGGAAACTAGGATAGGGTTTGGATCTGATAATGGATGCGCTACAGTTTTTTACTGAAACACAATTTTCTCTCTACAATCACCTCCATTTCTATCAGATGTAATCACAGTAAGACCAAGTTGTTTACAAGTCTAGTCTTACCACACTTGGCCTGATTATTTACGTACGTGCAGCCAGAGTACGGATTGATCATCTAGGCTCGTAAGTGTGCTTTACTGGAACTTTCAACAAGGAATCTCAGATTGACTTGTGAAAGCTTCTCAAGGCTTGGAAGCCAAGCCAGACACTCGCCATCAGACTTCACCTGCAGTTCCTGAGATCTAGGTGAATTCCTCTTTTCTGAGGCCCCCAGTGTATCTAAAGGTTCCTGGGTCTGCCAGTGAGCTCCCTTCCATACTCACCTGAAAGGTGGGAACTCGGTAAACAAGGCAGCAGTCTCTTTTTTTCAGGGGACAAGAAAGTCAACTTTAGTTCCTTAATACTCTGGCCACATGGATTCTTTGCACATCATTTTCAAATATGGCGTTTCAGTGAAGGCTTTGGTAATGAACTAGTGTTTTCAATTTTCTCCTGTTATATGGAGGATAGATTCTTCTTTAACTTAAACGTGTGTGTGTGTGTGTGTGTGTGTGTGTGTATGAATTAAATGGTCATGAAAATAAGAGCAGTCAATTAGAGTTTATAAATTCTGGAGGTATGAAGGAGAAAAACATGAATGTTCAGTTCTGTTGACAAAGATACAATTTGTCAGATGACTGTAAGTTACAGATAGCTTAAGGGAGAAAAAGAGTCCCTTAAATCTAGAAATACGACATTAAAGAATCAATAGTATTTCTAACAAAAACTCATAAGAATGATAATCATTCTCATCATTTCACTCAGTCTCATTTAATGATTTTTGTTTTGCTTAATCTTGGGTTAGAAGTTCTGTGAAACCACCAGCATGTTCATTAGTTTTAGAAATCCTCAGTCCAGTGGCATGGTCTCAAAATTGTCCAAATGATGTCATTATGGAGCATTCTTGTCTGTGGCTGATTACAAATGTTTTCAGAGAAGAATCAGAATAAAGCAATAATTGTTTGTGAATGACGAAAGACTTTGA